GTCTTATCAAGATTATTATTTCTCCCAGTCTGTTGTTTGCGAAAATAGATGAATGCTCCAGCAAAAAATATATATAGAAATAAATTTCCCGAAAAAATAGTTTGAAAATTCTCAATAGATATAACCCCTCGGGATATCATTTCATAGAATATTACTACGACGCAGAAGAGTGCGAGCAGGAAGATGTCTGTGGATGATAGCATTTTATTAATTTGTTTATTTGAGAATTGTTTGATAGGAGACTGCGCCAAACTTTATTTTTCGATTTGCAAAATTAATATATATTATTTTTTTTATTTGATTCTCTTACTAGACGCCTTCGATATATCCAGGATTTTTATAAAAAAAAATTCTTCCGCAGTTAAGAGCTACGATCGTCGCAAAACATGAAAGTCTTAATATCCAATAATTTGTCGATCCTAATTTTAAAAACATAACTTGCATTAGTGCATTGCTCTCGAACGATCAGCAGAATGTAGTATATAGGGATAAGTCATTACTGGTTAAAAGGTCATATGTAGTATTAAAATTCTTTTATTTGCAAAACATTAAAATAAAAAATTTCGGAAAGAAAACAGGTACATGATGTCATTTCTATGCTAGAATCTTGTGGAGGTAACATTGCCAAAGTGGCGTGAGAAGTGATGATGATCTGGCAACCTACAAAATACTAGTTTTTGATCCTGGGAATCTAAAGGAGGTGAGAAATTAGTAGGTTGTTATGTAAGAATTCATAGCTACCCAGTGTATCCCAAAATGTATTATTAGTACTATTTAAGGATTGAAACATCAACCGCTTACGAAACGTGGTCCACATATTGTAGAAATCCCAAATTAATTCGACCAGATGCAGGGCATCGAGAGCTTCAAAACAAGCCAAGGTGTGAAGTATTCGGATCACAGGAAGCCAGAATAGCTTTGACAGTTGAGAAAATTTACTGTGCCCGGGTTAGAAGTTAGATCGATTTTACCGAATATCTTCTGCGTATTTCAGGTGATCGCTCCATATGACCATTTAAACCACCCACGTGATTTAAAAAAAAAAAAGATACGATAATTCAATCTAAGCTGTAATTCATCCAATAATTCTCCTGCCTTTAGCATTTGACTTCATCACTCTGGCTCAGTAGGCGGATACCGGAGAGATAATAGGACTCATCATTGGTGAGACCTTCCTTTCATATCCTCCATCACGATAATAATAACCTCTATCACATTCACCATATTCATTATATCTACCGTAATAATTATACCTATCATCATCCGATTCATCCCTTCGGTACATCTCCTCTTCAGAATCATCAGAATCGGAGTCATTGTCTAACTTACTTTCGTTTGTTTCTCCCCCTGATTGCGAAACAGCTTCTCTATTCGTTTTTTTTACTGACTGAGATGCGGGATCATCAAAATATACCAATTCTTCCTTGATAGCTTTCGAGAGCATTTTATCAAAATCGTCATCATTTACCTCAGGTTTAGTTGGTGTTTTATTCTCTAACTTCGCTATTCTTGCCATTTCTTCACGCGTAAGCCTTTCATGGAGTTCGTGATCATACTCATCATCGGAGTCGGAGTCATTGGATTTGAAATATACATCAGAATCAGATTTATTAGCATCGGATTCAGATTCATCGTTTGACTTAAAATAATTTGTATCATCTGATGTATCTCTAAAATTATCACCTAAGTTAGAGTCATAAGCTGAAGTAGTAGTCACGGGCTCGGAGATTTCATTCACAGAACTAGTGATTGTCTTTGATTTGACCTGTTCTATGATGTATTCGATTTGAGAATTAGTAAGTCTTGAAATACTATCAACACTATAAGTGACCCGCTGAATCATATGTCCGCCTATACCTTTTATCTTTTGCAGAGT